TCTCTCTCTCTCTCTCTCTCACACACACACACACACACTCACATACATACAGACGCACACACATGTACATACTCACAAATAATAAGATTTACCCCCCCCCCATAAAAAAAATAAAAAAAATAATCCGTAACAGTTAAGCTACTTAACAATTACAGCTATTGACGAAATATTGAAAGGGTACACTGACGCACATCCAAACACTAGTTGCATTGAAGTACTTATACAGCAATTGAATAGTCGACCGCCCGAGTGTTTGGAAAAAAAAGAACCTGTGAGGAAGAAAATGTAATGCTATAGCCCGCTACTTGAACAGTAGCTATCTTTTTCAGTCCGTTGCCCTGCTGAAAGATCGAACTTGTACTTGTCGTTAGCTACGTCTGAGCTCCATTCCATTCTACAGCAGTAAACATCTGATAGGAAACAAGCTTTGAGAAAAACGTAGAAGCCATTTCTTGGTTTTAGTAAGAGTTTACAGCACTTGCAACACACCTATTAGGCCTATTGTGCAATGTAAGTTCCGAAAATTGGAGATGTTACAACATATTAACAAATAAAAGGAGATAAGAATAGGTGTTTGATAAGAAAGAAGGAGCAAACCACACCAGAGACCCCGCCAACCACCTACATTTTTTGGTTCGCGTACAACTCAAAGCATGAAAGATGTATTCAAAGATGCCCCTGTATTGACCTTTTGAGAAAGTACCTTGATGAGCCCAGGCAATTGACCATGGGTCTGTTGGCAATACTTGACACCGGAAAAAATCGCCTGTCAGACTCTTTTGCGCATGTCTGTTGAAAGTGGCATGAAATCAACTTCCGCTGCCCACCATTCGTCTCCCTCTTCTGCCGCCAGCACGTGGTGGATCAGACTATCAGACTAACTAGATTTCCTACAACTGCTCCACGAAACCAAGTGGAAGTTGCACTTTTTCAAGATGTTAGTCTTGTTTGAGAGTGCGGCAGGATATGCTTTATTTAAGGTAAGAATATTGAGTTTTCCTGTGCTATTTTTCACATCTTGCGCTTTGCTCTCCTGGTTCCTTATTTCTCACCCACTTTCTCAGCTGATTTATTTCCAGCCAACGCCTGTGACTGATCCGAGTGGAGTGTGATGCAGGCGTGGTATTAGATCTATCTTCAATAACAGTCAAATTCAATAAAAGCAACATCAACAGTGATGAAAAATCAAAAAGGAAAAAAAGTACAATAATGCAGGTTAACAGAGTTCAGACATTCAAAATAAAACTTTCGATTTCAATTGGTCTCCTCAGTCTCAGGATCACTCATATATTCATATATATCATATTGCCAATATTGCTGAGATTACCCTTAAGATTCTGGTCCCTGATAAATGTTTGCCCGATAAGCGTAATCCCGCGTGGCGCTCCACAGCTGGTCCCTGATCAGTCGTCGTCCAGCGCGGGCAACGCATTTCGTTTAGGCAGGGCGGGGTCTGCATCTGTGTCAAGACTGTGTGCTAAAATGTGTGTGGGTCAGTCCGCTTGTGCCTGTGTGTCCATCTAGATCTAGATCTAGATTATCTAGAATCTAGAACTTACTGCATTGTTTGGCCACCTCTATTCTTACCCGGGATGAGAATAGTGCAGGCGAGTCTTTTGGCTATTCTCACCCGGTGCGCGTTCACCGTTATAGCCTAGATTTCTAGATCTAGAATCTAGATCTAGAATTCTAGGCCAACAAATTTTGCGTTCAACCCTAAACCACAGAATTCTACACTGTGATAACAGAAAAATTTTAGAATTCTGTGCAGTGAACAAACGTTCCATTACAACTGTAGCCCACTAAAAGCGTACAATTTTGTCTGTGGGCAGTGGAGAGAGAGAGGTCTGCTGAGAGGAGTAGCGCGAGAACTTCCAGTCAAAACAAAATGGCGACCCGCGTAGTTCGGCTCGATTCGAAAAGTTAAATAGCCGTAGAATCTTTGTAGACAAGCAAATTAATTTACTTTTGTGTTTTAACATCATTTTTTAACGTTGTTTTGGTCAATTTGATCGTCCACATCGATAGACGACAGTATTCAGAAAGAGAGAGAGGGGGGGGGGGGATGAGTAGGCCTAGATCTTGCGAGAACTTCCGGGCAAAACAAAATGGCGACCCATTTCATTGTCAAGGAGGTGAAGGTGGTGGGGCGGGCCTGGGGAAGTAAGATGGAGAGAGAAAAAGGAAGAGAAAGAGAGAGTGGAAAAGAGAGAGAGAAAGGGGAGGGGGGGGGGCGTCTTATATAAGGACTGATGATGTGAATTTTATGTTTTGATCCATTTGTAGTTGTGAAATGCAGTGTAATAGCCAACCAGTAGTTTAAAGTCCGAATAGCAACGGGAGACTATTCAGACTCGAGTATAGACCTCGCTCACGGTAGCAAGCACATTATTTGAGTCCGAATAACCTCCAGCAGCTGTTCGGACTCGAGTCCAAATTGCCACTTCGATATATTCAAAACTTTGCACTACATAATTAAGAAATAAGAATACGTGAACCACTGTAATTTCATCATTTGTAGGTAGATCTAGATCTAATAATCTAGATCTTCTAGTAACTAACAAGTAACATATAGGCTACTGGCTTTAGGAGTTTAGGCCTTCCGTACTGATTTTGATGACCATTGAGTAGGCTATAATATAGCAATGCCCACCGAGCGCGTTTTGTTCTGCCGATTTTTGGCCCCCGCAGCAGGGGTGTTTCGTGGGACGCACTAACGCAAAGGTTGTTGTCTTCAACTTGCTCTCACGCCGCTTCTCGGGAATGGATATGAATGAAACTTGGCAGCCAATCAGAAAAGAGGGCAATCTCGTAGTATGCAGTTTGACAACATTGTACCCATCCTAGAAGCAGTCGAAAATGTTTGCGAAAGTGGTTGATATGGTGCGCTTTGAAGATTTTTCAGAGCTGTGATTTGTCAAACTGACTGATACGTTGTACACCATTTTTCTTTATTCCCTTAAAATTTCAAGCTTCTGTGTTTAGCGGTTTTCGCGTAATCTTTAAAAATGTGGGAGTAACTAAGGGAAAAAGCGGCAACGCCATTTGCGCGTGCGGGGTGATCGGCCGGCGGCTGGGAAATTTTCACTGAGTGACGTCACCAGCCATCGGTCGCCTCGGGCGCTACAAACTAGGACCCGCTTATGTGAACCGGAAATTGGGGAAAGGATACTTCAAAACTAAACGGGGGCCTTGATAACTTGCATTTTTGTTGCATTTTAGTCACAATACAATAGATGTCATTTTTATTTGCTTGATTGCATGACAGAAGAATAAAAACAGAAAAGCAAACATCTTGAGAAATGGTATGGCATTGTGTTTGCGTTATGAAAGCCTATTTCCCCCTCTTGGGAAAGCACACACTTGGACTCGTCCTGTGTGCTCTGTTTGGAAAAGTGAGGCATTAAGATTGTTATTAAAGAGTATGGTACTTATTTAGTCCAGTCTGGGAAGATAGTCCCGTTTATACATTGTTATCGTTCACGCGTGAGTGTGCGTGTGTGTGTGAGAGAGAGAGTGGGGGGGGGGGGGTGTAAATATGGTCTTTTATTATTTGAGTTGTAGCCTACACATGCGAAATATTCCCATGACTTGTAAACTATATTATCTGAACGCATCTTAATCTACCACACAATAGGACACTCCAACAATGGATATACACAGACGATCTTATTTTCTATAACAAAGTATGCATGCTTTTACTAGTACAGAACTGGATTTATTAGACTAATAAATCCTCTCTACTTACATTTTTGTGACAAATTGATCCAGAGCATTGTTTGGCAAGGAGGAACCTTTTATGTTGCCAAGTTTTATTCAAATATCATGACTTTGACTTTGGGACAACATATGACTGATAATCTTTGTAAATCTGTAAAGAACGCCACTTTTTTACCTGCTAATGTCTTTACAACTCAAAAAGTTAGACAGATATTAAAAATCTGACAGCATGACTAGATTCTTCATTAAAAAATGTACTAGACTGCCAAGTTTCATTTTACATATTCCAAGAAATAGGCGAGCTATGACAAATATTGTCTCAAAACGCACCGAAAACGGCCACATTTTTACCTATAAACGTCTTCATAACTCAAAAAATAGGATAGCTATGAAAAATCTGAAAGCAGGACTAGATTCTGCACTAGAAAATGTACTGGGTTTCAAAGTTTCTTTTAAATACTCCGAAAAATGAGCGAGTTATGACAAATATTGTCTCAAAACTCACCAAAGAACGTCCCATATTTTGGGGTTTTTTTCATTATATAAAAGTGTACCAAAAATTAATTGATTTAAAAATCCGTAACTTTTTTGTTTATTGATGGATTTCAAAAATTCAAAAAGTTCCATGCTCTGTGAAGATAAAGCTACAAAATGCACATATTTGCAAACACTTTCTGGCAAAAAAAGGTTTTTCGTGGTCATTGCTATATAATATTCATCGATTTCAGAGTGGTTGCTCGTTACGGAACCCTGTCATCCTGAAAGTCATATGTGCCGCCCGTCTCCATATAGCTTTAAGGCTTGAAAATAGTCTGGGGTCACATGGATGAATCTCGTAAGAGGCATTCTCCAGCAAGCAGTCCAACACAATTCCATTCTGAACACAAATGTCCGAAGACCCCATAGTCAAATGCGTCCTGTGACCATCAACAAACAAAGTGACTGGTCTTTTGATTTCATTCTTGTCAAGGTGGACATTGAACACTTTCTTCAGCCAAGAATAGAATAGTTCGGCGTCCATTTGAGGACCGGCCAAATGCCGCACTTTCAAATCCGTAGAGGGGGTTTTAGTTGAAGCGGCACCCAGCAAAGACAATCATAGGCTGAACATATGTTCCAGCAGCACTCAAACCAGCCATGATAGTGACGACTCTTGTCAGAAGTTGTAAAGTTATACGAGTGTCTGGATTCTTTTGCACACAGAACTTTCCCGCTCCTGGGACAAAGCGGAAAGCCAGTCTCATCTGCATTGTACCAACGGTTTGCCTCCTCTTCGTAGGTTTTCAGGACGCACTTCTGACTGGATTTCTCATGTATTTTGCCATACGATGTAGCTCTTGGAGTATTGTATTCCTTGGAAATGGATCAATTTCAAACTGCAGTAATTTTTGCAGCAGATCACGTTTTGCAAAGCATTTTCTTGAAAATTTCAAATCTAATTGCAAAACCATCTAATTATAGGGAAAAGCATGGTGCTGAATCTTGCGCTTCCTTAAAGTGTGAAGTTTTTCTTCATTTCTTGGCCTGATTTTTGTTTGTGCTGTGATGTCTGCTAAATATGATGGAAAGATACATTTTTGGCATTATGTAAAAGGTGTCCATTTATTTCTTTTCAGCTTTTGAATGAAACAAAACTTCAAAATAGTGAAAACCTGTATCAAGACTTTGAGACACCTGAGAAAGCTTCCAAAGTGTGAGTAGAGTTATGATTACAATTCTGTATTGCGAGAAATTCTAGGGGAGTCGTTGCCAAAATATAAGAGGACAGTTGAGGAGGAAATTCCAGTTTTCATCTCTTTTATTAAGGAAAGTAAATTTTTCTTTTCGGAAGTGTTAAATCAAGTAAAGTAAGACGAGAAATAATAACGTGGTACTGTCAGTGTAATGTTTAGTCTACTGTGCCTTGTTTTGCTTCCCTTTAGTACACTTTCCTAGTATAATGACTATAAACGAATATATTTGATAACTTTTTATGTATTTACAAGCATAGTGGTAATTCAGATTTTGAATGAAAAGTTGCGTATTGTCTTTTTTCTTTGCACTTTTTTAAAGCTTGTATGTGAGGCATCTTCGTGAAATCAGGTGCTCGTCAAAATGCTGATATCGAAGACACCAGCTTTTTTCTTCCCATTTGGCAGTTTTTATGGAATAAGAATTTTTTTTGTCCATTTAAAAACACAGTTCTGTGTGGTTTTGACCGAAAAACATTAATCAAAGGGACAAAAACTGTAAAAGTAAATGTTCAATTTTCAAAGACTCTAAAGCTAGATTTTCTCGCTAATTTTACCTCTGAACCCGGTCACCCCACCTCCTTCAATCGCAAATATCTCGATTTCTCTTTTAAAGATGAAAGGATATTTTTACCATTCAAATCAGGGTAAATGAGCAGGCTTTAAGATGATACGGATAACATAACTCCATATGTCAAGAAACTGACAAGCGCCTGATTCTACGTTGTGACATATTTATTGTTTAAAATTGGCTTTTAATGTATCATAACACCCCAACCCCTCCTGTCAACTTGATGTTAAAAAAAAGACTATACAAGCAGACTGAGTTTTAGAATTTGAAATAATTAAAAATATGTGAAAATACTTTTAAGTGCTCTATGGTTAAATATTTTAAAATTCAAATGCCATATAAAAATATGGATGTGATGACAGGTTGGGCATTGAAAGGGAAGTTTCAGAATATAGTATGGATGAATTCTAGGCATGAATCAATAATGCGTTACATAATAAATTAGTAATTCAAATTTTTTCTCTCACACTTTCATAGCCATACGCGACAGAACATTTGCGAGAGCACAAAAATACCTGTATGTTTTGCCTTGTTGGTTACCTGTACGTTTGCCCCCTTTTTTTTTTCAGTCTGAAGCTGAAGCACTTTGAAAAGTTTGAGAACATCAATGAGGCTGTTGCAGGTAATAGATTTGTTGCTGTGTTGTGCTTGCATGTGTTAAGATCATGTGTGGTGGGTCTTATAAGTTATAAGCCAACTGCCATGGTTTGGAGGGGGGGGGGGGGGTGATACATTGTGTTTTCAAGCTTTTTTAAATTTTTATTTTTGTTTTACAATGCTCACACCTGCTTACGGTCATAAGCACATTTAACGTTTTAGTTTGGTAGGAATTTTGAATTTTGATTGGATGGCGGCTGAAGTTCTGAAGCATCAGAGTATGTTTGATAAAAGTAAGATTTGTTAATATGGCAACTCTTAACATTTTTGTTCTATATTGAGGGGGGGGGGGGGCGTGTACTTTTTAGAGACAATAGTTGTTTTTACTGCAAGATACTTGCTCCTGCCAAGTTTGTGTTAAAATTGGACTTCACTTTTTTGAAAGGCTCGGTGAGAAAACAAAGATATTGTTTTTTGTTTCAGATGGTGTAATGAACGTAGAGACTGTTTTTTATTATTCATGTTCATGAACTCTGTCAGTTTTCGTCTGATTTGCCCCACCTTTTTCGCGTAGAAACCCCTCCCTGCTCTATGGGCTTATTTTTTCCTGACAACAAAAAGTGCAATACTTAAGCAGCTTACATCCTCTTCATAATGGTATGTTGTCTCTATCATCAGGAAACCTCACTGTAGAAAATGAAAAAGTTGGAAAGAACCTGAAGAGGCTGGTAAAGAAACACATTCTTAAAGATGCTGAGGCTGAGTTGGCTGTTGCAGATGCTAAACTTGGAAAACTGCTCAAGGTTAGTGTCATGTACATGGAATCTTACTTTGGTTGTGGAACTTTTTTTCATTGCTGTAAATACTCTTCTTTTATCTCCGTCGGGGTTAAACCCACTATGCCATGGCTCCTTTTTGGTACTAAATCTAAAAATGCTGAAAGCGTCACTAAATTGATCATTTGATCAAAACAAGAACCTATTTCGATAGTTCTTCATCTAATGAATGAACTCCCAGTAAAAGAGACCTGTTTTCGGCAATTGCCGAAAAGTAATTTGATGTAGAAGTTGTCGTAAAGGAATGACATATGCAGGACCTGGCTCACCGGCGCAACAGTTCCGACTGCGAGCCGCTGGGAGCGTTTTGCTGGAGTAAAGAGTTAATTACTGATGCACTGTGTTGTGAAAAGTAAATTTGATTTGTTAAGATAGTGTTATTCATTGACATCACATGTAGTTTAATTTGGTAAAAATTTCTTAGATTTTTCATTTAGTGAGTGTAACCAAACGGTGTGTAACCATTTTATGGCAGTTGTCATATTTCAATTTCTTTTTTTTTTCTTCCGTGCAAAAACAGAAAGAATTTGATCTGAACTGTGTGACGAACTCATCTGTTCAAGAGCTGATGAGAAACATCAGGTCACAGCTTGACAGCTTTATTTCTCCCATGGTTGAGGCCAGTCACTTAGCACAGATGTCCCTGGGTTTGGCTCACAGGTATGATTATAATTTTCTTGCTGGCTAGTTGTCTTGGTAAGATTATTGCCTAATGGCTCGCTGTATGAGCTATAAATGGTATCAGTTTTCTCAATGTTCCATGCCTCTTGTTTCGTGTTACCCTTCAATTCCTGACTCAGAGGCAAGTTCACAGGAGCCGCTTATCAAGCAGTAATGGTAATTTTCTAAGGAAGTGCTTGATTTTTAGGACACTAGTGCACTACTAGGTCAAGAGCCTGCGCACTTTGCAATCTGGATTCAGTCTTTGCATGAAATTGATATGAGTAGGCTTCGGCTGCCACCCTGGCAAAGTTAAAAAATGTCCTACCAACTGAAAATGGTGTGTCCCAAGCGCTCATATAACCATATGCAGATGCGAGTGCTATAAAACACTTACTGAAAAGAAAAGATCTTAATATCCAAAACTTGTTGGTTTTCTTCGTGGATTCTCAGACTTGTAGCGAATTGTTGTCTTCTTTTTCACTGGACATGTTGTTTTCTCATGATGGGTCTCACTGATAAAGGTACTGACTTCCTCATTAAAGATTCTTTGAGCAAAATGTTAACCTTTTCGTCACTTTATATATGTGAATGTTACAAATTCTATTAAGTTGTTAGTGTTTGTTGTAATTTAACAATGATTTGTGGGTGGTTGGCGGGTGCTCTGGTGTGGTTTGCTCCTTCTTTCTTACCAAACATCTATCATCCTGATCTCTCCTCCTTTTTTTTGTTTGTTACTCTCTTATAACACCTCTAATCTTCGGCACTAAGAAGACTTTATTGTGTTGCAAGTGCCATAAAACTCTTATTAATACTAAAACTGACCATGATTTTATTCATTCACAGCTTGGGCAGATACAGACTCAAGTTTAGCCCCGACAAAGTGGACACCATGATTGTACAAGCAGTTTGTGAGTATTTTGTATTTTGATGTGGGGAAAATCTGTTTAAATCTGGTAGAAACTATTGTCGAGACATTTGTAGGACAAGACTACCCAGGTATTTGAAGTGAAGACTATCGGGGCCTGAATTGACTAAATGTCATTTGATTGGCGTTTGATTCTTTTTAAACTATACCATTTGTTCAACTGGGCCTATAAGTAGCCCTTCACGGTAAGGGTGTGCATTTTGTTGTATGTGTGGTTATGTAAGGGCTTTTAGCGGGTTGCCTTGGAGTTCACTTGATTTTTCAAGGATGGTTAAAGGGATTTAATGTCAATGTTGAAAAAAAAATTGACTTTCGAAGTAAGATGAGTCCTCTTCTGTAGGCTTGCAGGGGTCATGGTTCATATGGTTAACCATTTTATGCAGAGTTGTAACAAGAGGCTAGCCAAAGAAAGGGAAAGCTGGAAAGTGCTTGTTCGTGGCCAGTATCCTGTTCCAGGGTGAGAAAGGCAATGATGATGTATCCGGACAAACCGTGCCCTATATTTAGTTTGTACAGATTATGGTAATACAGTTAATAATAATAATAGATAATAATAGATAGATAGCATTTGAATAGCGCAAATCCCCGCTCAACAGCAAGTTCTATGGTCTTCACAATCTATACTATTACCCCAGCAGACCTGAGAGCATTCTGAAACAACCTCAACTTCCTGGGAAGCATACAGTGCAAGCAGCGATTTATAGGCGCTAAAATACTAACATACTGACAGTAAAAACTTACATGGCTACCCATTGTCAAGGTGAAAAGTGTCCGACTTGGACAGGTCGTCGTCTTACACAGTTTCATTAGGATGTAAAAAATTTGCAAGGGGGGAAATCGGACATAACTGTCTGTAAAGGTGATTGTCTAACACAGGATTTCCTTAGAGCAAGTTTCAGCTGTATGTATAGATTGATTTTAATTTCTGTGTTTCAGCTCTCCTGGATGATGTTGACAAGGAATTGAATAACTATATCATGAGACTAAGAGAATGGTATGGATGGCATTTCCCGGAACTGTCAAAGATGGTTACTGAGAACTTGGCCTTTGCTCGTATTGTCAAAGCAATGGGTGAGTGGATTTAAAAAAATGTTTTTTGTTCGGTTTTCTGTCAAAACTCCATGTCTAAAAGGAGAAGGGGATGTTTACATAAAAGTACATTTGTGGGTGGTTTGCAGGTGTTTTATGTAGTTTGCTCCTTTTTCCCGCGTCCAACATTTAATGTCACTATCTCTTTTTCTTTTTTTAAGTGTTGGTTTCTCTCTTGTAATACCCACTATCTTCAGCACTTATAGATGCCACATTACACTTACGAAAACAAAAGCATATTCTATAATGTTCAGGGTGTCCCTGGGAAAACTGAATTGTGTGCCAAAGCTTTTTGACTATTGATAGTCATTATTACTGATCATTATTATGAATAATTCAAATTGTGAGAATGAAGGTTTTAAGTCAGCACAATACTTCTTTGGAGGGAATATATCCACATCATTTGCTTGGGAATAATTTTTATAATGGGGCTGGCACAGCTGAAGTCACATGACAGTGTACAGTGGACCCCGGTTACAACAGGTCTGCGGAACTGATGTGATACCCCTGGTACAGCAGAACCTGCTATAGCTGTGAATCAAGTTTACATACAGTAATGAAGGATTAACGGGTGGGATTTTGTTTATTACCTAGGTAACCTATTTTTTATTATGTTATTCGTTTTATTCAAGTTGCATTTTAGCGAAGAAAGTTTTGGCCATTTTTAGAATTCTTTAAAATTCTGGGTGTTGAGTGATCAGTGAGGGAGTTTGTTGCATTTTAAATTACAAGAACACTTGAGGTTAATAGTTGTCTGTATTTTTTTTTTAAAATTTTCAGGGGACCGCACACACGCTGCTAAAATGGACATGTCAGAAATTTTACCAGAGCATCTAGAGAAGGAAGTCAAATGGGCAGCAGAAATTTCCATGGGAACTGAGATTTCAGAAGAAGACATCTTCAATATCAAGAATTTGTGTGATCAGGTAACTGACTTTGCTAAGTGGTTCTTACTTTGTCTCCCAATAATCTTCTTGATAAAGCAGCAAACCTGTTTTTGTTGCTGTGTTTGATGAATGATAAATTAGGTGTTTCATATAAATCTGAGTTCACTATGTGTATGGTTGCTTGTGCTTTCTACATGATTTGAATGGGATCATAAATACTCTTGGTGGGTGCTCTGGTGTGATTTGCATCTTCTTTCCTATCAAACGTCTATTGGCTTTATCTACCCTCCTTCTTTTTTGTGTTTGTTACTCTCTAGTAACACCTAATCTTCAGCACTTATATGACCATATTGTGTTGCAAGTGCCGTAAAATGCTTACTAAAACAATACTCATGCTGCCATTACCCTTGTGCTCCCAGGTGATTGAGATGTCTAAGACCAGAGATGAGCTGTACAGTTACTTAAAGGAACGTATGGCAATGGTGGCTCCGAATCTGACTGTTCTGGTTGGGGAGTTGGTTGGTGCGCGTCTCATTGCCCATGCAGGTATGTCATCATGGTTGTATATGGAGACTACCGGGGGAAAACTACGGTAATCACAAACTGAAAATCGTGAGGGTACCAATTTTGAACGCTTGTTGACTCATAACTGTATTTCTGTTCAACTGTTGGTTGATTAGTGTTGTTAGATTTTCCTTTCAACAACTCTTAACAATAAACCACCAGTCAAACAAATATAAATTTAGGAGTCCGCAAGCTTTTAAAATTGGCACCCTCACAATTTCCCGTTTGTAACTACCGTCGTTGTCCCCCCTCTGCTCTTCATATATAGTAGTGGGAATTGAATTAGAGCTGGTGTTTTTTAGTATTTATTGTTGTTTCCTATAGCAACCCAAAACCATATTTTGGTAAAGTCCCTCAGTTTAGTGAATAGGGGGAGCGGTAAATGTGATTTTACAGTTGGATTGGATTTACAGAGATAATGTCAAGTGTATTAACTGCCAATGATGGAACATGTTTCTCTGACTACTGAATGATGTCACAATTTCATTCGTCACTACCTCTGAGGCAGTTCATGTGTGTCACTTTGGATTTCATCTGTGTGTTCAGTGAATTCCCTTTTGAAATTTTTTAAACCTTTATGATCTGTGTTTTCATCTTCGTACTACATAACACGAAACTCCCATTGTAAATAAATGGTTAAGTTTTAATTAAGCTACATTACTCGTGCAATGCAGTAAATTGCTTTACCTTATCTGTGCAATAGCATTAGCTTTCAATCAGGGCTTAGTTCAATGTGTTTCTGTTTTTGTTATGAAGGTGATGTAATGCTGCTTTTTGAATGGACCTGCATATTCTTTCCTAATTCTGTCAAATCAGTGCCCAATTACTGACTCTGAATGATGAGTCACGTGACTCATAGACATAGTCAGAAGTATCTAGTGACAGTTGATCAAATGACCTGGACCACAATACAATACAGATATTTATCTAGACTTTTGATATTGATGCTTTTTAGTTTTCTGTCAGGAAAATATCAGTGTAAGTTGTAGAAAGAATTGCCTTTGATTTTCATATTTCAAAGGTTAGGTCAGTGTTAGTTCATAAACTGCCAATGATGGAAAATGATTATTTTCTGACAACTTACTGATTGTTACATTTTCTTTCGTCACTACCTCTGAGGCAGTTTATGTTCTGGCCAACATTACTTTCTCCTGGTGTAAACTAGCAATGCCAATCGGGCTTTCCCGCGAGGCGAAAATTTGGTCCCCGTTTACGGGCGATTTTGCGGACCCGGCCGAAGCGTAGGTGACTAACTTTGTCAACCTCGGTCTGCTCTATTTCCGAACCAATCCGAATGAAACTCGGCTACCAATCAGAAAATAGGGCAAACTAATGATATGTGGACGTTGAAGTTCGTACACATAAATTAACCTATACTTTTGGTGTCGGGAACACTTTCGTATCGTGTACACCGAAAACTATAAGGAGTTTGAATTTCAACGCCCAGATGGTAATAGATCTATCTATCCTCTATAGTGTGCTCAAATTTGTGAGTTCTGTGTCAAGTAGTTGTTTAGACCCGATCGTAAATCTACGACTACCCCCCTATCCAAAGCGGCTTCGCAAGGAGACCGGCAATTTTCCCCTCACTCCCGTGGCAAATGTCTGTGACCTACAAATCCCCGCATGACTATTCCGGGCCCGTTCATTGGTCACTTGAAATAGGGCAATGGCGGGCGCGCGCATCCGGTTGTTTTTCTCTCTATTCCCCTGTAACATCGCAATGGGGGTATTCCGAGGCGAGGTTATCTCGTCTCGGGGTGTTCGCGTCTCAACGGGGAAAAATAATTTTTAATTGTACGGCATGCTAGATTGAATTAACTTATCTTTTACGGTTGGCATGGTCTAAAGTCATCATAAAAAGCTTTGCAATTATTTAGTCACGCTGCCGACAAATATTCTTAAAGATCCCATGTTGTGATACGATGCTATAAATAAAATGGACTCATCCCGACACCCCTTTTTCGCAAAATCGTAATATGTACACCACAATTTTAATTATAACAAAATAACTACGAAATTGGTAGTAAATCTGACTGCAGAAATGATTTCTACACTCAAAAACACATCGGGTAGCCAAGTTTCTCTCGAACATTTGGATTAGTTACCGAGATATCGTCGATTTTCTTACAGAATCTGCTACTGCGTGGTCCACTTTTTAGGAGTATTTTCCTATATGTGGGTCATCCATATTTTGCCGACCTTTACAACCCCATAACTTTTTTATTTATGAACCGTTTCTCAAAATTCAAGGAGCATAATTATCAGAATTGAAAATTCTTTCTTAGGTACCAAAAAAAGGGGGGCAAAAGTGAAAATTTAAATTTTCATTGGCATTGCTATGTAAACTCACTGAATACCATGGTTGAAATCCCCAATTTAACTCAGGCTGCCATGATTTCAAGGATGGTTTAGAACATTCATTCTTGGATAACTATTCAAAGCAAGCTTTTACAATGTACACCATTTATCTTTTTTATTTTGTGTTTTGTTGAGGTGAGAACAGATTTTCTGCAGGTGTGAGATTTATGCTTGTTTGAAATACGGACAAAAATACAACGTGCAGTATGTTATCAATGTGTGAAGTACTGTGCATTAATTTCGGATGTATTAACCAGTATGCATAAGGGGTACTTTGACAAATTCTGTGACTTTAAATGCCTGATGTGTAAAGAGACTTAAATTCCAGGCTTAAGCAATAACGTTGCTGGTACAAATCTTTTGAGTTGTGACAGTTTTTGCTTTCTTCTATTGAACCATTGTTAGAGTGTTATTTGTTAAAACACAAAGTAGTCTTGATTTTCTCAGTGTGGTTTTTAGAATTTTTGTTCTTGTAAAAAAAACTGCCAGTGATGGAAAAAAATGTTTCTGACTACTGGATGATTGTCACCCTTTCATTCGTCACTACCTCTGAGGCAGGTTATTCTAAGCAAAATTCAGTCACAAAGCATGCTACAGAAATGTCTGCTTTTAAAAAAATGCCAAGGCTAGGTATGCAAAAATTGATATCCTGTTATCATTTCTGTTCCTGTGATAATGCAATACTCTCTCCAAGCTGCTCATGGCCTTGCAGTTTTTTCCAGTGTCATTTGGGCGTATTGAAGTCTCCTTTATTTTTTTATTTGATGGAATGATTCCACAAATTTTCTATTGTATCTATTCCAGGCTCTCTGCTAAATTTGGCCAAACACCCATCATCCACTGTGCAAATTCTGGGAGCAGAGAAAGCTTTGTTCCGTGCCCTGAAGACAAAACACGACACACCAAAGTATGGTCTGATATACCACGCATCATTGGTGGGAGGTGCTCAACCCAAGAACAAAGGAAAGGTTTGTTTCTATTATGTTTTTTTACATCAAAAGTACTTCTTTGTGTACCCCCCACCCCACGTCTTTATTTTCATTTTTCATCTAACATTGTCACGTTGCTTTTATGAGTTTTTTACCTTTTAAGGTGTGGTCAGGTGTTTGCAAGTTAATGTTATGGGTGGTGTGATACGGACTGCTCCTTTAACTTGTTTTCAGCACAGTTGTTGTCCCAATCTTCATTCTAGCACAATGTGGTTGCAGCCGAGCCACTCTTGAAAATTCACTGTAAATGGAGACCTAGGTGTACTGTCATAAAGGCAACCAAGAATGACAAATATTGCCAACTTCCATGACATCCACGATGTGTCACAAAGCTAAAAATTGATGCATTTTGGTGATGCACCAGGTGCATTACAAGGCAATGAAGGGGTAGCGCTCATATGACCGTATGCAGTTGCGAGCGCTGTAAAACCCCATACTAAAACATACTAAAACGAAGGGGTTGAAATCAATCTGTTTACGGAATTTGAGAACCATTTTTGTGCACTTCTGTAGCTTCTCAGATATCATTTGACTTTTGTTTCCTGTCCTCAGCTGTCGAGGATGCTTGCAGCCAAAGCTTCACTTGCTATACGAGTGGATGCCCTTAGCGAGACCAGCGACTGTACCTTGGGTGTAGAACAGCGCGCCAAGTTAGAGAGCAGAGTTCGCAATCTGGATGAAAAGGCGGTGAGTTAATGTTTTATTTTAATCATGTGCTCTTTTTTATTTAGGTATCAAGTTTTTTCCTAGTGTTGCTGAATTATTTTTTTTGTTTCATGGTCTTCAAAATTGTAGATTTTCAAGACCTGAATCCAGACAAAAGTCCATAGGGTACCCCTTAACTATATTTTGTGATCCACTGTAAATTCAATAGTATTCTTTTATACGGGTATTTTGTAGGGTAGCCTAGATGATTGAATGTGCATTAGGTATTTAGGTATCAGGTGCTTGTGTAGTGCAAATTTATCCTGAGAACTTTACTTTGATGTTTTTGAAAACCATTCTTTCATTCTACAGGCTCGAAGGATCAGTGGTTCCGGCAAGTTCCAGATGAAACAGGAGAAATACACAAATGTCAAGTAAGTATTTATTTTATGTATCCAGGTTTTCAGAATTATTTGTTTTCATAATCTGAACTGAGCTTTAGATTTGTGGGGTTGGGGTTTTTTTGTGGAGCCCTTTTTTGTATGACTCTTTCACAAGGGGTTTAGACATAAGGAGTGGGTGGTTGGTGGGTGCTCTGGTGTGGTTTGCTCCTTCTTTCCTATCAAACATCTATCATCGTGATCTCTCCCCCTTCTTGTTTTTGTTTGTTACTCTCTTGTAACACATCTAATCTTCTACACTTATATGACCTTATTGTGTTGCTAGTGCCGTAAAACTTTCACGAAAACTAAAAGACATGTAAACAGTTGAACCTGTCCGAGATGACCATATATTGTCAAGAAGAAAAGTAGTCTTCTTTGACTGCGTCATAATATCCAAAAATGTTAGGAGGAAAGTGAAATGAAAGTAATCTGGTGGTGTTTCTGTTTCGCCTTTGATTTGTGGCACAAAAGGGCATTTGAAATGTTCTGCTCCATGTCATTCTTTGCCTTCATTTTGTCCTTTTGAATATTAATAATTGGATAGTGCATTGTGCATGTCACGTAGACTTCAATACTTTGTCCACTTTTGTCTATCTGGTATTTTATGAGGCCTTGTTATAGCTCTGGTCTTGATACTGATCAGGAGCTGGAATGGCTTGCCAATGGAAAAGTGTTGTTGTTTTCCTAAATATCTCTCTGTTAAATTAATGGCAGGCTTGCCATCTATGTCTCCTGAAAGTTTCATCTCAAAATGATGACAAAAGTAAGGAAAGAGTGGGGGAAAAACGGCAAAAAAAAATTCATTTTGCGAAAACTGACTATTATTGTGAAAATTCACTATATTAACCCGTCGTCATGTTTTCAAAGGCAATTTACGTGGAGAACAAACACTTTCTCAAATGTATCCATGCTATTTTTGGACAAAAAACTGGTTGATCTTCAAAAATCAGCCAACAGAAAATTTGCATAGCCTGACCCAAAATCTGCTAAATCATGGGTCGCTCCTCCCCTTAACAAGAAAGGACGAGGAGTCTGCACAATGCCATATAGTTTTCTGTCTACGAAAGAAATCGGTTCCTTTTTTTTACAAATATGACTTTGTTGAATTGAGAATAGTATCATGTAAAACAAAACAAAAATATGGTATGAGAATGAGTTTGGGAACTCGTGCTTAAGATTATAAGAACACTTAATTATCCTCCAAAATTTTTGTTGTTTCCATGGTGTCATGGTTTCTGTCCTACCTGTTCTTTAAGTCTCTGGTCCGAGATGATTATTATCAAAATGACATTTTGCAGTTAAAAAATGTTTGAGATTTGCTTGGATTTTACATTATTATTATTATTAAGGGAAGTTAGCTCGGTAGTAGACTTATGTTTGACACAAATGGGATGTCTGTTTTGAGAATTGTCTTGATCACATTCAGTCATCCACTTGGTTTATAATGGGGTTCTTTTTTTACTGTACAGTGGAAATCGCTTCTGCAGCAAAAATTTTGAATATATTTTTGTGGTTAAGTTTTGTACTCTATTATCTTTAAGCTGTTCTGTGTTTGTATTGCTATATATATATATTGTATATAGTGTATATATTTGTGTTTACTACTTTAGCCCCCTTTAAGTCAAGTGGATTCTTGACCCAATAGAAGTTATTTATATGATTAGGGCAAGACTTTCTCTTTTCAGGCGATTTCCACTGTTGTTGCTCTGTTTAGTTATACATGATTATGTCTCTGGTCTTTCATGTAGTGTTTAATCCTATTTTTCATAGTGAAGTGCAGACTTTCAATCCTGCTGTGGACTCTACTTTGTCTGGGAAGAGAAAAGTGAAAGAGGAGCCAGAGGATGATGCAGAGGAGACAAAGGCCCCGAGTGCAAAGAAAGCAAAGTTGAATGAGTCAGTTGCTGAAGAGGAAGATGAGACAGAGACCCCGAAGAAAAAGAAGAAGAAGAAGAAGAGGGACTCTGAGGTCAAAGAAGAACCCGCAGAGATAGGACCAAATGGTGAGGATTTTATGATTAGATCGTTGAAGTTTGATTAGTTAAAAGTGAATATGGCAGGGTAAAAAAAATTGTATCTGAAAATAAATGTAACAAATAAAACCTGATGGTATTGCGTACCGGTAGCAGGAGTGAAAGTCATGTCTTGTAGATGTCTGGTTGAGGTAGCTGATATGTCTTGATCCACTTCCTAATCATTAAAACAATAGCCCCCTTTGACCGAGGCCCACTCCGCAGTTATTCTCTGTTTGCATATATGGGGGGGGGGGTGTTGTTAACACTTTGCTCCCACGGGATGCCGGTCGGCGATGGTGTGATATAGCGTGTACCGCACCTGTATCCTGGTCCATGGGGACAAGTGTTGCGCGCTCTGCGTGGGTGGAGAGTGTTAATGCAAGTCTTGCACTTTCTGCAGTGTCACAGAAATGCGGGTGCTGCTGCATCCACATTTAGATGAGGCTGAGATCTTGCCAAAGGAAAATTTTTGAATGATGTCATTGTTTGTGTGAACATTGTTCATAATTTTTATTTATTATATTTTTTTTTTGGTGGAAAAATGGGATTTGCGTGTTATGAACAATTATATCGGCAGCGATAGTCAGGCTGCATGTATCTGTCTTTGTCTCTACTCTACGTGGCGTTGGTGGTCTAGTGGTAAGGTTATGACTCGCAACCGTAAGGTTTGTTAGGTTGTGGGTTCGAATCCCGACAGAGTCCCGGCGTGCCCTTGGGAAAGGCACTTTACATGAGTTTTCATCACTTCACCCAGGTGGGATTGGGTAACCAGCTATGGACAAGACAGGGAAATATCTGTTAAGTTTCTTAGTGTTTGAGCGTTTAATCAGCTGCTTGCACTGTATGCTTCCCGGGAAGCTGAGAATGTTTGAGTGTTCTATTGTCTGCTGGGGTAGTGATATAGTGTATAGAGCATATTATTTTGACACATTGTCATCTTGAGTACTTTACAGTTCTGTAATATAATAGACAGAGAGAGAGCGTCGTGTTGGGCGAATGTAGTAAGCCTATTGGTATGGGGAACTGTTTAAATGTCATTACATCACATCATCCATGGTTTGGGAGTGGGGGCTCTGGTGTCACAGTAATAGAAAAACCAACTGGAAGTTTTGCTTTTATTTTTGTGAATTGTGCTTTCATTTGTAACTCTACTCTGTGTCATAAAATTACATTCAAAACTAGCTATTATACTGGGGGTTTTTCATGTGTGCATTTGTGGAGTCATTTTTTTTAACATACATATATTATATCATACAAATCTATACCTCGCACAATTCTTTGGGAAATTGCAGGTGACGGAGAGACTGAAAGTGCCAAGAAGAAGAAAAAAAAGAAGAAGGACAAGAAAGCCGACTCTGATGACGAGTAACATGATGATGGTCTGCAAATTGTTATCGGTTATAACGGACATTGTATTGAACGAAATGAATAAATATTTGAGTTCCACAAATGCTGTTTGTGTGGTTGTGTCGTAAAAAAATTTTTGCGTTCAGTTTCTTTTAAATGTTTTTGTGATCCTTATTTGTTCCTGATAAAATGTGTCATTTATTTGGCTTTTACTCACTGGGCCCTGGTCCTGAACATGGACAGGATAGAGTAGAACATGACTAAAGCGGGACCGTACCGGAATCCCCTTTTTATTTCCAATGTAACCTCAATTACCTGTGCTCGGGTTTAGCGGGGCAATGAAGAAGCAAACCACACCAGAGCACCCGCCAACCACCCACAAGGAGAGGTTAAGAACAATAGATGTTTGATAGGAAAGGAGGAGCAAACCACACCTGAGCAACCTCCAGTCGCCCACCCTACTTCCACTTGTCATTGATTACTCTTGTGGGACTTGGCTGATGTATGTTCAGTTCTGGTACATGTATTTCTGGATAATGTTACTCCAAGTTCCAAGCTATTTGCTATTCAGGCAAGAGGGGAAAGAAAAATATGCTCAAATTGAAAGGTTTAACACCCTTTGCAACACTGGAAGGTTATTTAAGAGGTGGTACCTTCAAATTGTCCATGTCAGATAGGAACAAGCCAAATATTAAATCGGAAAATTTGTGTAAAGTGCCTTTCTAAGGACATCAACATCGGATCAAGGTGGGTGGTTGGCAGGTGCTCTGGTGTGGTTTGCTCTTTCTTTCCTCTCAAACATTTATCGTCCTTATCTCCCCTCCTTCTTTTTTATTTGGTACTCTCTCCTAAAACCTCTAATCTTCTGGCACTCTGAGGCCTTATGCAGTTGCGAGCGCTGTAAAACCTCTACTAAAACAAAACTGAGCATCGAGCCCCCGATCCTGTGATTACGAGTTCAGTAGTTTTAACCACTACACCAGCAACTCCACTCATTTAAGTAAAGAGAAAAGTATTTAATAAACACAGTTAAGTACTTGATGTAAATTGTCATGGTCATATAGTAAATGATCTAGTGCTGGAGAAGATGACGGAAGGGACAAACAACAGAGGGAAAATCAAGAAGTAGGACCTGCCAGTGACGCTCTCAACCTTTCTGCAACACCACTAAGTCAAGAGGGGAAAATGACTACAGTGACTCCCTGGGGTTTTATACACCCCGCATAATTTAGCAAAATTTGATCATTTTTGCATAATTTCTGATAATTTTCCGTCATCATTCTTTGTTAAATTTAAACAGAATCACATAATTTCACATTTCTGGGCTCAGTTTGCATAATTTCAGAATTTTTTTTGGGTATGAAACTGTGGGGACAGAAATAAGGACCTCATTCTCATACAGCACAGCAGGCTAATATGTCTACATTTTGCCAATAGGAATAGATAGACTATACTATTTTAGTTTCAGTACAAGAGAGGCACATTGAATGGGGTGTGATAATTAAATTTAATTAGTGCTGGGAAAAGGACAGAATGGGAAAGAAAAGGACGTACTGTACCATGGGTGCCCTCCAACTCCAGCCACTGAAAGGAAAAAGATACAAGCATGCTTCCTGTCAACCTGTGGGAAATTCATATATTTGGGGTCTTTTCTGTGCGAGGAGAAGCCTCCGAATGTATCATTCCTCTCCGACAGGAACAAGCCAAATGGGTTGAAGTTGATGAAGAAAGCCTAAAAAATCCCAAACCAAAAGAAGTTGTGGATTCAAACCAGGGCCATCAGCTCCATGGTCCAGCATGATACCGAGCTAACAAAGTTTACTTAACTCCCAGGCAAGACGTATACGGTATACAGTACAGTAGTCTTTGCTTAAGTTAATAAGATCCTGCTGTTTTAAGAAAACTGAATTTTTACTATACAAAAGTCACCCCCTAAGATCCCGCTCTGATTTCCCCCTAGAAGGCCTACATCCGGTTAAGGATCCCACATTTCAGATACATGTAATACTTTACGAAACAAAATCCTGGGCGGGCACAGCAGATCAACCAAAAGTGAAAAGTTGAGATCATTGAACTGCCCGTCACGTCAAAGATCACCCACTCTCGTGAATGTGATCACATATAAGTGTTGTAAAACTCGATGAAACTACAATGTTTGCATCCGACGGGACCACACTACGATATGAATTGACAGATGTGTTTGTTTTCCCCAAACATCGCATTCATATCTGAATCTGAGATCTCCACCTAAACTCACATCACTCACTGGGTGGGTATAATAGGGCCTACAAGTCCGCTCCAGACGGGATCACATCGAACTGTGAACTCTTCCCTGAAAATTGCAGCTGTTGTCTGTACTCCCAAATTTGCGAGACAGATCGAATTTCAATTAGTGTGGTAACAACGTAGGCCTACTGGAGTGCAACAACAAAGGAGGGGCAACTGGACAAGTGTATATCTTGAGACTCGCGACAGGATACGGTTTTATGCAAAAAATTAATTTTTTAAAATTCTGAAATTATGCAAACTGAGCCCAAAAATGTGAATCGATTCTGTTAATTTTATTAACAAAGAATGATAAAGGAGAGAATAATCAGAAATTCGGCTAAAAAATTATCAAATTTCTGCTAAATTAAGCGGGTTGCATAAAATTAAAACCCCGGTGACAGAATAAGTACTAAATGGCATGCCTCAAGCCACTGTGATTGGTCATCAAGGCTGACCGCTCTTTGCTCGCCGTGTGTCATAAACCCACCCAGGGGTCACATCACTTCATTTTAAAGTGAAGGGCTGGGAGACCATGTTAACGGTTGTGAGCCTTAACGTGGATTATCTTAGATTTTTCCCTGGGTTCGTCGGCTAAGATCCTGCATTTTCCTTGCTCCCTGGACCTTGGGCGGAGACAAATGTATAAGATAAGCTGAAGATACTGTTATTATTACTTAAAACCGTACGTACGAGTCGACACGATCTCGTTATCTCCGCTATAAATATTACCCCCCACCACCACCACCAAAATACAGTCGACGCCGCTTGTGTTGATCTTCGGTTAAGTTGGCCTTTTCTTGGGTCCCAGCACCTCTTCTTTACAACTCCCAACATCTAAATTGAATTTCAGATGAGTTGATTGGGTCTATTTTTCACTCCCCTAACGACATCAACTCATCCGTACGCCGTAGTCGACTGTACCAGGCGACATGAGTCCATTATTAATATTATGCTCATCCGCTGAAAACAACTCAACTGCCCTTTACAAATTTTCCCAACATTTTTTGTTTCGTTTTTCAATCATAGAAGATCTTTGGATTTTTAGTGTTCACTTGATTAGTGGCGTCGGTGGCCTAGTGGTTAGGCTCTCGGACTCTCAACCGTAAGGTCGTGGGTTCGAATCCCGTCAGGGACCCGACGTTGTGCCCTTGGGAAAGGCACTTTACACGAATTTTCCTCACTTCACCCAGGTGGGAACAGGTACCCGGCTATAGACAGCGAAAGATCTTGTCAGTTTGTTAGTGTTTGAGCGCTTTATCAGCTGCTTGCACTGTATGCTTCCCGGGCAGCTGAGAATGTTCCTGAGTGTTCTATGGTCTGCTGGGGTAATAATATAGTGTAAAGCGCATAGAGCCTGCTGTTGAGCGGGGATATGCGCTACACAAATGCTATTTATTTATTTATTATTATTATTATTCACTTCATTAAAAAGATCAATGTTCTCCTCTTTTACATCATACTGCTATACCCTAAAAGTAAAAGCTGAAGTATGGAATTGAAAAAGAGCAGATCTAAACAAAACGCATTCAAGACGAAAGAAATCGTTTTGGTATAAAACAAATGTTTTTTAAAGTAAAAGTTTTAGTTAGAGTTTTACGGCTCTCGCAACAGCATAAGGTGATATGAGCGCGCAAATAAATGTTTGTTAATTAAAACCTCAGGAAGTCAGCCAGCTGCATGACAAGGAAAGTGTTCGAATGGAACCCACAGGGTAAAAGATCAAGGGGAAGACCACGTGGGACCTGAAGAAGAGTCACAGAAATTAGAAATTGATGTACAGAAAAGAATTGAGAAGCCGGGTCGGCAGTCACCCTGTATAACATGAAGAGGCTAACCCAGGATAGGGAAAGGTGGAAAGTACTAGTTTGGGGCCTTGGCCAAATACAGTGGAAACCATATATAACAGGCCCGGTAATAACAGGGATTTTTTAAATCCCCGTTTTTTCCTACTCTTTGTCTCTATTAAAAGTTATCGGCAATAACAAGGCCTCATCGGAGCCTAACCGGTTATAGCAGGGACAAAGGCTCGTTACAATGTGTAGAAAGTAAGAGAGAGAGAGAGAGAGAGAGTAACGCAGTGATGGAGCAAGTCCATGCAAGCCATGCCACTGCAAGCACACGCAGCGTGTGAAGCGAGAGAAGGCTGCGGTGTGCTGCAGACCTCGATCTAGCCCGAAACCTAGCAACACGCACAGGTAATGTGTCACCAACGATGTCAAGCGCACGAGAAAATGCCTTTCAATTGACAAAAAATACGAATTAATAATCCAGGCTGTTGACAAAAAGCAAGCTCCACTGGCAGAGATTTGTCGTCAGTTCGACATTCCACAAGGGTCGATTGACACCATTATCAAGGATAGAGAGAAGATAGTGGCAGCATACTCCAATGGAAGTTTGCTCTGGATCGAAAGAAGATGAGACTACCCGATGCAGATGCTGTGGACCAAGCTCTTCTGGTGTGAAGCAATGGAGAAAGTTGGTGCCAAACCCCTGTTCGTGGGTACTTGTGGCAAGGGAAACTACCCAAGAATAAGTACTGCTGGATTAGTCCACACATGCTTACTTTCCTTGCATTTCTGACTTAACAGGGATCGGATATAACAGGACATTTTCTCTACTCCCACCATCCCTGTTATATCAGGTTTCAACTGTACCTATATCTATACCCTGGCCCAGGGTGAGAAAACTGTCCCCGCTGTTTTAAGCACAAAAAAATCTGAAATTATGCAAAATGAGCCCAAAAATGTGAAATTATGTGAATATGTTAATTTTAACAAAGAATGATAAAGGAAAATAATCAGAAATTATTATTTTATCATTCTTTGCAAAAACTGA